TATCCTTTGAGCCATTTAGCTGGTAAAATTTGATCAACAGACAATAGACAATGGCATCATCCCTGGTAGGTCAGGAAGCAGACATGAATGTCGCATTAAACAGTTCCTGTGTACCCATGTTTTCAGAGCACGTTGACAGATCACTTTGCATATTGTAGTTTATATGGATTTTCAGCCTAATCTCTAAAATCTACTACATCTTGTAAAACCAGCATCAAGAATTCCTATATTCGGTCTACATAGTCATATATTCATATATTTGAATGAATTCACCAACATATGATGCATTTTGTGTGAACAGCTGCACACTTCTTTTAAATTTCCTGGTTCCCTGCTCTTTTCAATGCACATATAGTCTTGAATAATGAAATTTCACAATCTTGCCACAATTTACCTATCACAATGAGTAAACAAAAGCCTAACAAGGACAGAAAATAAGACTAAGCAATTAATATTTCCAACTGTTATTTATTTAGTCTTTCTTACTCGTTCATTGTTATAAGATTGTCACAGTGTGGATTCATGGTTTTTTCCAAAGTGCTCCAAATTGTAATAATTTTGCTACCTGTTTGCAATTACTTAACACCCCAATGGCTTGAACTGTATTGTTGCTTTAATGCGTAAGATGAAGTTAAGAACTATTTAATGAATTTACATTCTTGTCAAGCTATTATATTTTAATTAGCCATTAATGAATGTAAATCAGCATACAGATTCTAAGTTGTTTCGGGAAATCCAGATATATGGCCAGAATAAATTAAAATAATAAAGGATTCTTTTTTAACTGGAAAATTTCTGATAAGGAAGGAGACCTGCTAAGTTACACAACATCTACAGGCTGCAAGAAAATGATAGATGAAATCATAGGTGTGGGAGAATCTGATTTACTGTCTGATACAGGAAAATACAGGAACATACTGACCATGAACTAGTGCCTAGTCATTCCAAATGTTGTCCCTCAGTCTTGGATGTTCTGTAGGTGCTCCAAGGGAACGATCTCTGTCAAGCACCCTGTCCTGCCAACTAACACCTACTATATTATTGTTTCTTGCAGATGACCATTTGTGATACCTGAAACTCACAGTGTCATTAAACCTTTTTTCCCATTATAACATTAGAACTGTAAGAATTAGAATTAGAATTAGAATTGTACAGTGTTTCAGGAAACACATGCTTGCTTCTGTGGCAAACATATGATTGCTTTTATTTAAATATTTGAGAATTGGAAAAACCTCAAATCAGTGCCCTTATCTCTAGGATCATACTGCCCTTAAGAGTCCTTAGGGCAATATATGCTCATTGAAAGGCTCATCTTCTCACAAGGATCCTGATTTCATTAGGTAAAAAAGGTCAAACAAACACATAATAAATAGTGGGTTTGAGATTATGTTTTAAAATCCTCTGATGGAAACTGAACAGTAATTGTAGTGCTATTTGCTCAAAGAACTTCTGAAATAGTAGCTCTCAGAGGAGTGAACAATTCAGTTCAGTTTCATCTGAATGTTTGAAAGTTTAAAACCCAGTCCTCGCCAAGTTAACAAGCTGCATTCCAGCAGGGTGCAACAAAAATAGGGTACAATTCACACAAAATAGTATGGATGAGTATCTTCTGAATTACTCCTTCTCTGGCATGAAGACAGTTAAATAAAATAAAATAAAAAAAAAAAAAATACAGACACAGAAGTTGCAATTGTTGTGCACACCTGAAGCCAAAGCCTGTTCATCTGCTCACTCTGCTGAGGAATCATGTGTTCCATGTTCTTATTTTTATCTTCCGCAGAACAGGCACAGCGATCAATATGAAAACTATCCATCTCTGGTGGCAACATCTAGTGCACAAAATCAACTGAGTTTGACCATGCTGCACTCGTCTTTATGTTTCACTTCATATCATCTCCCTGTCAAGTATTACTCATGGCTATGATGTCCTAACATATTGGACCCTAACATATTTTTGAACATATCTACTTGTATATGTTTGTACCCTTATCACAATCAATTATGCTTCAAAGCATTCTTCTGTGATAGCTTCCACTCAAATCTCTTCTTCCATTATTGGTCTCTTACCAATATCACTTGGCTATTTACTAGTCAGATGCAATATACTGAAGAGACCTTTTTTTTTGTCCCTTTCTTCCACGTTAAGGTGATCACCAAATCCCAAACTACTTCCTCTATGGTATTCTTAGAATTTTTTTCCTAATCTGCATTCATGGAAGTTGAACCAGAATAGAATTTAACCTCTCATCACCTGTTTTTATGAGCATGAAGTAGAAGCAGATGCTTCTTGCTAGCTTCACTTCAGCTTTCATAATGCTTCCTGCAGCTTTGCCTTCAGAACAGGATTTGTTTCTTAGCTGCTCCTTTTGTCTTCTTTTGTGCCACTCCTCATTTCTTATTGCTCTGCATAAACACATCTTTTAAAGAATGTTCTCAGAGCACCTGCCTCTCTTTCTTAGTGTAGTATCTGCCAGGATGTTGTATTTAAAAATATTATGTGCATATATGTTTGCTGTGTATCATACTGCTGTCCTCTGATGAATACAAATGTTATTCATTTGCATCATTTACATAGTGTTTTATGCTGTGAGTATGCTTAATAAATAATAGTATTACAGTAAGTTCAGTAATGTTATGGAAGACTGAAGGAACATTTCTCTTTTAGATATCTATGTATCATGATTGATAGACTATTGATAGATTTAATAGATAATCAATCAAGTAACAGAAGACTGTTTTTTTCTCTTTTCATTTGTGAAAAATGTTTACATTTAGATTTTAATACTTGAGAATTGGTGGATCTGGATCATGTGTAGATTAAATTTTACTCAGTGTATTTTGTAACATGGTGGAAAGAACAATTTTGCCTTTTTTTTTTTTTTTCTTTTCCTTTTTCCCGTAGTCTCAAGACAGTGTATTTCATAATCTTAAATATCAGTGACTTCTGCTGCTGAATTGTATAATGTTTGGGGATTTTATGTAATGTCCAAAATTTATGCATATGAATTATAAACATTTAGAGTGTTCCTAAAACAAATCACAGTTAACAAATTTTAGTTCCTATAATGCAGTTTGTAAACTATAACACAATTAAGAATAATTTCTTTCAAGAAATCATCACCATATTACCTGAAAGATAAACACGTTTGCTTTAATTAATTAAAGTAACAGCAGTTACAACAACTATGCAATGTAGGTGTTAGATCGTACTTTAAAATATGAGCTGGAAATTTGTGAATGAGAAAATGATGCTTGAATCATGCATTTACATTTCCCAGGAACACTTAAAAGCACATAGAGCTCCCAATGTACTTGATTTCTGTTAAAAAAAAAAAAGTAAATCAAAATGCTATCAAAGTATTTAATATGTAACTTGCCCCAAAGGAGATATTTTCAATATTTTGTTTATCATAGTTAAATCTCTTTTTCTTGACAATGTTTTTTCATAATTTAAATTTTTCGCAGTATTGTCTGTAGTCCTTTTTTAAACTAGAACGAAATAGACAGTTTTGACAAGGATTTTCATAGCGCCTACTAGCACAAACAAGGATTTATCATGCTGGAGTATTTCACGTTAGATTTAGGAATAAATCCCAAAAGTCTTGAGATCTCTGCTTTTCTGTCTAAAACCTGTGATTATTTTAATTATTTAAGTTTGTGTATTCATTATATTTTAATACTTTCTCCACCAAAAGTTCTAGCTCCTCTAATGCTTCCCCTTACATTGAATAAATGAGGAAACTGAAGCTGATGTACATGCCAAGAAGGGAGGGTGGAAATGTTATTCTGACACTTTTGATTCGGGATACATTTGAAAGCCAACTGAAATTACTTGCCAGCATGTTTTTGACAGTGACAATTATCCTTTGATAGCAAAACTGTGTGATGTCAGTGACAGACTTACAGACTTGCTCAATATTTGCATGAAGAATGCAGAGGTTACCATTGCAGCAAGCAGGCTGTTTAAAGTCTCCAAAACACAGTGCTGCTCACATCTCCACATATAGTTGTTTAGAGATGACATTGTAAACACTTTCGAGGAAATTCTTCTTGTAAAAGATGTGATACATTTGGTAAAAACAGTGTAAATGTTATCCTGTGGTTTCAGGGCTATGTCCTAGTTGACAATGTCTTTAAATTAAAGATGTCTTTTATTCATTTACTTACAGCTACAAAAACAATTGTGAAGAGTTAACATAAGAGAGTAAAAAATAAATTCTAGGTATTAATTATCTGTCATGAGCATGGTAGATTTACTAGGTTTGTTCAAAAGCTTTCAAGGCTTCTGCTTAAAGTAAAAAGAAACTTTTTTGTTCTACTAATGGCAGGATTGGGTATGTTCCACACTTAATTCTACTTGTGTTGGATGCTTTTGTGTCAGAAAGCTGGCAATGTTTATATAGATGAAGTCAGTGATCTGCAGGGCTAAGTACAAAACTCCTCACGATTCAGGGGTCTCAGACTGGTTTCCTCTTACTTTTTTACCTAGGGGTATTGCTGAGTGTTTTAAGAAAAAAATACTTGAACAATTACTAAAAATGATTTTGCACACTTGATTTTGCACCTAGAATACAAGGGTAGAGTAAGGGATGTTTCAAAGTCTATTCCAGTCCAATTTTCATTATTCTTTAAGGAAAGGAATTTGCTTAAAGCTTGATGACTTTCATGGATGGCACTAAGTTGTTCTGAATTACTTATATAGTTAAGTACTGTCATGGAAGTGTAAGACCAACAAAAGATGTTCCAAACAAAGGCAAAATGGTAAAATTTAATAGGATTTTATACTACAAAATGTCCAGTTATTCACATGAGCTTGTCAAAATTTCAGTCCCTTTATTGCAGGAGGTAGTTTTTTTTACATACATAATTTGGAAGGAAGTGTCTGGTATATATCTCTAAAATTCAATGTTTGTTTGTTTTTTTGTTTTTGTTTGTTTGTTTTTTGGTTTTTTTTCTTCTAATGACTGACTATTAATCTATTTCTTTATTCATTTTTATAGATTAAAAAAATCAACAGGAATTTTCCCGTAAACCAGCAGGTAAGAAAATGAAAATTTGGAGTTCTTCCATTTATAATTCTCATGTCAACTGTATTTAATTCTCTGGTAGCTGTTCATTATTTTAGTTCAAAGATTGTCAGTAGATTTTCTTCAGAGAGTAGCTTGCTGCCTCAAAATAGGTATTTTTTTCCTAAAGTCAATGGGAACTGGAGTATTTGGTCAAATAAGAACAGGCCTAAACTTTTCAAATTAACCTGTTTAATGCATATATATATTTATATATATAAAAATGATAGTTTTCTTTAGAATGCACCTTACCCATTTTACTATAAAAGGGGAGATGGGATTCTTACGCATTACAGAATTAGCCAGTGTCCATCAATGTTCTAAAATTCTAAAAACATATGAATTCTATTGTCCAAATAAAGGCATAAAAAAAATAATATTTACACAAGTTTATGGAATGAGACAGTAGCAGAATTTGGAACAAACTGAATAATCTGACTGTCTCCTGTTTTATCCATTGTCAGTCTCATGTTACCGGAAGACACTCTATGTCCTAAAAAAAGGGAGTAACATTCCTTGAATAGAGATGGTTTCTTGCAAAATGCATCATGAGCATAATTGCTCTTCTTCTCTACAGCTGTGTAGCAGGTGATTGGATCTGTAAGGTAAAGAGATAGAGCTGTGTGTCTTGAGAAATTCATTCTTTCCACAATTTTTAATATTTTTTTTTAAAGAAGTAAACTTACAGGCAATTCAAGGTTTAACACTGAAATTCTGAGGTTTTAGTTGCTAGAGACCATTGTAATAACGGACAGCAGCCACAATTCCTCAAAAAGATCAGCATATATTTTAGAAGCTAGATAAGAAAAGCATGAATAAAAATATTCATGGTGGAGCTTAGTACACTGTAAAGTGATGGAAAATTAATTTGGAACATAGTCTGTTCCCACACTACAGTAATGCCATTAATTGTTCTGTGATATAGCACAACAGTTGAAAATGTGACCATTTAGTGGTGGGCTACTCATCACAGAGTACATGTTTAGTAAATTAAACCAGTTAATTAAGTATGCCTGTGTTGTGTATCACAACTATTGCATAACGGGCTTTTCTTTTTAAGAAACTTGTAATAAGGAGAAACAGAGAAATCTGATTCATCAGAAGGAACAAATTAATTCCTTGTAGAATGAGAGAAATATCTATAGGACTGAACTGTAAACTTGCCTTCAGGAGGGCAGATTTGAGGAAGGAAAATGCTTTCACCTCTCTTACACCACATCTTCAGCCAGTCAACGTATTCATCAGTTCGCTGTCTTTGGTCCGACTATTTTAATATGGAATTGCTAATATGGAAGAGGACTGAGAGTAACTCCCAAGTGAGGGTGTATTATGTTTTGTTTGCTGCTTACTTAATGAAAAGGTCCACAAATCATAATAAAGGAATGACATTTTAATAATAATAATAATAACAAAAACAACATCATCAGTAACAGCATTAGTAACTATATGGTTATGTATAAAAGAAATTAGAATAAATAAAACATAATAAGCAATTAGCTGCATTTTTATTTGCCTTTGATTCTCAGGTCTTCATCTGTACTACAATTACTCAGATTTTTAGATACTTTTGTCTCAGTCTTGCCTCATGAAGTCAAAGAAAGGAAGTGGTTTGTCACATTCGGCAATTGAAAAGAGCACTTACATTTGGACATTTTTAGAACAGTTTCTATAACATCAGTTGCTAGTAGTGGCAAATAAATGCTCCTATCTCAAAAGAAGGAAGGACAAAATGCTTAATAAACAAAAAATAGTTAACTAGCTCCATTTCAATCTTATATTTTACTCTGGACTTATTTCTTAGCTTTTATTACTGTGAAAAAAAAAAAAAAAAAAAAAAAAAAAAAAAAAAAAAAAAAAAAAAAAGACAACAAAAATGTAAATAATAGTTGTAATGTCCCACCAGGCTAACATATAAATTCCATGATCTCTGCTGTTTGGGAACTTTTGGCATGCGTTGTCAGTAAGGCATTTTCCTCATTATTAGAATTCCAGTGGAAAGCAGAAATAATTCTCTTGGCTTGAGCAGCTTGTTGGTCATGTTATCTGTTAGGGCAGCCTGCGATTAACGCTTTCTTCTCTCATCAACATCAATCACTATATTCCAAAGGAATTACCACGGACAATTTCAAGAAAGTCAGACAAAAGATCAAACTGAAAAGAGAGAGCCTGGTGTGATGGGCAGTGAGACTGATAAGATCTCAATGCTCATTAAATACTGGAAAAGAAAAATGTTTATTGATCTATGGGTATCTTGACATTTTAGGCAATGTTAATTTCAAAAATAGACTCCTGTTTGGTTTACCTTGTGTAAAGAGGCTTGCAGGTTTTTATTGTAGAAGGAACTAAGAAATATAACTTAATTTTTGTTAAATATGGTATTTCTGAGAAGAGTCAGAAAAGACTCATGGATGTACAGTTAATCTGTCTTCTGGTATGCAGCAGCGATTAACATGGTATACAGGAACTGTCCTTTTTATTTGTTACATTAGCATGCTATTCTTTAGCTGAATATTAAATTATCATCTTGACTACTTTTGTCATCTTGACATTTATTTCAGTAAAATACATTTTTCTCTAAAAGGTTGAATAGCTAGTTTTAACTTGTTTCTGCAAGCACATCATGAACTTGAACTCTGAAACTGATCTGATTGGGATTTTACTTCTAGATTTTTTCTTACCATGTATTTTTCCTAACATGATTAATCCAAACTACAAAAAAGGATGGAAATGCCTCTATGGCTTATTCTATGGTTTATGCATCTTGTTCAATAAAAAGCAGTGATAAGACAAACTCTGACAGTTTTTAAGTCCCTATAATGAAATGTTTTTAAAGTCACTGTATTGAAAAACATCTATTGACTAAGAATTTTTAGAGTACTATCTTTAATCGATACAGGTGCAAAAGGTTTGTACACTCATATGGCTTTTCAGTTCTCCTTCAGTGATAAAATTTCTACAGTATATTTTACATCTCTTCCCCATATATCTATCTAAAATATTCATGATAAATACCAATCAATTTCAGTATTTAATCTTTTCTCTCAAATATCCTCCTTTTGCTAAATACTCAGTTATTAAGGGGATTAATGTATTTCTTGCATTTTGATATTACTAGTATCTAAAATTCATGTGAGAGTTTTGATTTTATACCTTTGTCTATCTAAGCAAAACTGTCTGTAGAATTTTTCAACAGTGGCGACATTGCAAGTTAATCTTTTGGCTGCTGTCTTCATCCTATTATGCTTAAAAGAAAATGCAAAAAAGCATGCTTAATTTCACTTAATGAATATCCATGGGGTTTTTTTTATGAGCACTAGCAGGGTATTTGATTATTATTTTCACTTAGAATTTTCATATGTATATATGCATATACGTATACATATACATCAAATTAATATCTATGTATGTATATATGCATGTGGATTTTATTTAGTTGTTAAAAGTAAAAGGAGGAAGGTGGTTGTCAAAGTAGATTCAAGGAACCAATCCAATTATAATTCCTTTATGAATATATTCTTGATTTAGAGAATAAAATATCAGCACTGACAGACCCATTAGCAATACAATATGGAAACAAATGAACTTACATAGGTGTGGAATCTACTGTAACACTGACAGTATTATCCAAATGTCTCAATGTCTGCAGTAAGTTAACAAGAGCAGAGAAAAAGCAGTTTGAAAAGATTTGTTCATTACACAGCTTTCCTTTAAGGCAGTAATTGTGAAAGTAGGTTTGTCTGACAAATTATTTGAAAGATAAGATACATTTTATTGCAAGTTAAACGTTCAAAGTGATGAGTATTGATAAAGTGATAATTATACGGACGTCATGAGGCAATAAGTTCTGAGAATGGTCTTAATATGTTTAATAGTGGTGGGAAGATGATGCAAAAAGTGGATGGAAGAGGACCACACAGAAAAAAAGTTGGTGAAGAAGATTGTTGGAGAAGAGGGACATAAAGTTCCCCCTGTCTGACCTGACAATGATTCCCACTTGAAGGTGGTAAAAAATTAGAAAATTGGCAACACCTTTAAATCAAGTCGTGTTTTCTATATTGGTGCTATAGGCACAGGCTACATATAGTACCATCTAAGAGAAAACCAGGAAGTAGTTGAGAAAAAAAATATATTAGATAACTTGATACGGAAAATGCAAAATGTATTTTAAATATGCACTAGAAGTATTACTATATCATAGACAAAATTTCCATAAATCCAGAGGAAAAATGATAAAGACTTCATGGCAGAGAGGCATGAAGAACAGAATTTTTCAAGGTTTCAGCCAAAGGCTTCTCTATTTGATCAGCCAAGATGGGAGAGGAAACACGGGCATGTTTCCTTTTCTTGGAGCTCATCACTGTTCGGCTGTTACACGGAGTACAGCAAATGTCAGCTCCTGCGAGAGCCATCATTAGGCAGGTGAATTCTGAGAGGTGGCATTGACTTCCCTGCTAAACCTTTCCAAACAACAAGAAAATACACCCTGCCTCAATGGGGTGGTGTACTGAGGCTGAGCACTGCCCGTTCCTTTTCAATTCCCACTCTTTAAATTATCCACCGTGAGTTTGTGAATGTGCTGAGCTCAGCTGAAAATCGGCTTGATAGCATCAAGGGAAATCAATATTAGATAGCCTTTCTTACAAAGTCTTCTGATCCTTCAGAAGATAATGGAGAAAAATGCTATAATCCTTTAAGTTGAATGCTATTTCTCTTCCATCCACAGGCAGCACGAGCATTTTTGAGAGATTTGTCTTGTCTTTACAGAAGATAAGATATTCTCAATAAATAATTTTAATTTTCATTTTTAAGAAGAATCTTTCCCCCTAGAATTTTTCTGCATTTATGCAAAAAGAATTGGTAGCTGTCCTGCTCAAAGTTAGCAGTTTATAATGAGAATTACATGAGAGTGAGACAGAGTGCTTCCTTCTCCACAAATGTGTTTAACCCAGTTTTAAGACATCGTGGAATAATGA